TCCAACACATAATTTGGGTTAGAGAGCCTCGAAATTTCTCTTGAAGTAATAATCAGAATCAGCAAAACTCGCCAAGGCAACCACTGGGTTTTCATGGTCAAGAGAAGAAAGCAAGCTGGAAAGAAGCTCTAGCTGAGATGACTTATCACACCAATCAGCTCATGAAGAAGACAACACATGCAAAAGACTAGGACAATTTTGTAAAGTCAAGCCGCATCACTTTCGAATCTCAAGCATAATTTTTTTTTTTTTCAGTTAGTGATAAGTGCGTTTTTACACACTTATCGTACTGTCAAAACATGGAAAATTGTTGATTAATATGTTGGAATATAGCTTAATTCTATACAATTTACGTTTTGCAGGACAAAGTGATGAATGTAGCGGAAATAAAGAGAAACACGTGAAAAATGACCAAAATGGAGAAAGTGAAAGTTTAGGGATTAAAGTGAAAATACTCGAAACTTGTTTCCAACCTTGTGACGAAGATTCGAGAGTATTAGAGATCAATTGGATAAGGTCAAAGGGATCGAATATAGCCAAAATATTACCACATATCAACTTTCAAGCTAGTGCACTAGTTTTTAGCCTCATATTGAGACTCTTTTTTGACATAGTGGACAATCTAATTGGAAGTTGACATCTGAATAAAAGTTGTACCCCTTGGATTTATATTTCTAACGCATCTTAAATCACCTCAATCGGACATCAGGAGAGAAAGTTATGGTTAAAAATACTAAAATCTATCTGGCGGAAAAAAAGTAAAACCATGCGGTCGCATGGTTATAAATCCATGCGATCACACATAAGCCTTTAGTGAATCAAGAGGATGACATACTTTGTTCTATGCGACCGCATGAGTTTGAACTGTGCGGTCGAATAGGTCATTTTGTGCTCGAAATTTCAAATTTCCTTCTACGACTCAAACACTTATGGTAATTTATTGTGGCACGATTTCTCAACCCTAAACGACGTCAGAACGTCCCAGAAATCCTCATTCCTCATCATTCATCATTCTTTCATCAAAAACT